TTTTCACCAAGCATGTACAATTTGTTTTCGCGCGCTGGATTGTGTAATAAGCAGAAAAAGTAAGGTTGGAGTTACTTTTCTGGCTGTATTGGATGAAGTTACTGTAGATGACCATTTTAGCTATTTTTGCATATAATTTTTTCTTTATTTTATTAATAAAATATATTTTAAAAATATTTTTTTCTTATATCAGCAGAATCAGCCAATGCAGCCATTTTAGCCAGAACTTCATGAATTTCAGCAGAATCAGCCAAAACAGCCGATTTTCGTGCTACCAAACGGGCTCTACAAAATCGAATTTGTAAGTGCGTGAATTTACAATATAGAAATTACGGGTTTGCGCATTTAGAGAACTAATATCAAAGCTAATAGAAAATGGGAAAGTTCCCGAAATGGGACTAAAAAAGTTTGAAAATTCCAAAATAGGACTGTCATATTTTTATTCCCAAAATAGGACTAATTACTGCCAAATTTGGAAAATACTGCCATGTTTGAAGTCTGGTACTGCCAAAACATGACAGTAATTAGTTCTATTTTGGGAATAAAAACATGGAAGTCCTATTTTGAAATTTCCAAACTTTTTTAGTCCCATTTTGAGTAATATCTCAATAGAAAATACGCCTCCTGAATAGACGTACGCTTTATTTAAACAAATCGGTCCGGATTTATTACCCCATAATAAGTACTCATTAATCATATAAGTTTTCCATAATAAGTACATCTTCCGTTTATTGATATGATTTCCCCCCTTTAATTTGCTTAGCTTGAATTGTATGGAGTATATATGTATATTTGAAACAATGATAATACAAGCACCGAGTCTCCTCTCCAAAATATGTATATTTCGGTGCCCCTCTCCATTATTGCTTAATTACTACGGAGTATAGTTTGTATACTTTTTAGAGATATACCATATATCTCTAAAAAGCCCATGGAACATGGAACACCGACCGTCAGATCTTGTGAGTTTCTCTGTACCTAAGCATATATAGCCACACATTATTCCAAAATAGTTCCATATATAATACTCGATTCGTACAAGGTATACGTCGATTGATTTTCAATTTTTTGCACTTTACACTAGTTTAGAACTTCTTTGACAAGTGTTATTTTAGCTGAAGTTTTTTGGTACATCGTTGAGCTAAAGTGGTTTAAATGGGCAACATACAATGTTATTTAGGGAAAAAAGTACTCCGAGTTAAATAAGGATTGATGATAACTCTTAAATTTATAGATTTGCGTGTTGAAAGTGGACGTTAATTGTTGTTTAGGGTGTATGATCAAATTGAATAACACGTTGCCACAGTTTATATGATCATGTTAAAGATTACCATTAAATTTATAGTTTTGTGTGTTGAAAGTGGACTTTAATTGTTACTTAGGGTGTCTGGTCGAATGGAATAACACGTTATTATAGTTTATAGATTCACTTGTTATTTAGGTTATACTACGTATGTAGTATATGTCGTCGTGGACCGTTGTGCAAGGTGATTGTTGCGGCCATATAAATTTATATTCGATTACATTTACTTTTAGAAAAAGTTAGAAAGGTTTGAAAAGTTCATTGTTTATATTTAATTATATAAATCTTCTATAATACTTTCTTCTGTCCCATAAAATAGTTCTCACATTGAATTTGATTGAAATTTAAAAAAGTAGGAATAAATAAAATGAAAATGTATCATGTATGGTTGTGGTTGAGTAGGAAAAAAAGTAAATGAAAGTGAGACACACAAAACTTTCCAAAAAGATAAATGGGACTATTTTTGGGACAACCCAAAAAGAAAACAGGGAACTATTTTGCGGGATAGAAAGAGTGTATTTGAATTTAATTGTTTTAAAGGTATTTTATTATCATTATGAATTATGAATAAGTAAGAACAACATTACTAAGAAAAACTACGTACTTAGTACGGGAAATTCATATACGCAAACAAGTAACAAAAACAAAGAAATAATGAAAGCTAATACGGTTACAAATATTTAGGGGGTGTTTGGATCTGATTTTCAAAACTGATTCTGCTCCTTCAGGGAGCAGAAATAGAAGTTTGAGTGTTTGGTGAAATTCCAGAAGCACTTTTGGTGCTCTAATTTACTCTCAGAATCAGTTCTTTTATAAACTGGGGGATACCAACTTCTGAAAACTGATTCTGATTCTGCTTCTACTTTAAAAAATAAGTAGAAGCGGAATCAGTTCCAAACCCCCCTTGGAGTGAAAAATTATTACAAAACACAACAATAGCACATGAAATAAAGTATGAAAGGTTTTTTTTTTGACGAAGTATGGAACGGTTATTAGATACTGATAGTCTGATACTCCATATTTGTTCATTTTATAACTTCGGCTAAAGTGTACTTCGTATACTTTATTGCATTACTTATTCATTCTAAACCCGCCAATGTAGGAAATTAATAATCAAATTTGCAGTTTTGTGTAAAGGTTAAGTACTAAATACTAATGATGATGTTTAAACGTAACAGATTTGCGTGCTAAAAGTAGACGTCACTTGTTGCTCGGGTTGTCGATTCAAATTGGAGAAGGCGTTATTAAAGCTTAATGGTAAATTTAACACCTCTCCGGATTTATGTTCTTTTAATGTATTTGCTGATTTTATTTTGATTATCGTTATTTTGATCTCGTTTGATTTTTTAGATTTATTATTGTAAATATATACTGAGTAAAACTTTAGTAATAATAGACTAACAGCCGATATAATACGGAGTATAGTACTACTTTCCTGTTTCCTCCCATACTTTTTCACATTACTCTTGGCTTATTTTGAAAGTAATTCCTATGTTCCTATATATGGAGTATAAGTGTAGTTACTACGTACAATATAAGTTTTGAACACAATTATATACACTAAAAGTGATAAAATTCACATTTTTGTTGATGATATTTTTGTTTAATATTTTAGGAAAAAATCTCATATTTTACTAATAATGTTTTTATTTGGATTGATTTGAGCCTCATATATACAAGAACAGAACAAATCAGAGTAGACTTAAACAAACTAAAAAAGTCTAGACTAGATTTAAACAAACTAGACTTCGATAGTTATAAAATACGCATACACCAAACATATACCCAATCAGACTATTTCAGACCACACCAAATCAGATCGGACTAGATCAGATCATAAAATTTCAGTTCAACGAAAAACATGTCAACTCTTCAAACTTTCAAAGTACTATCAAGGGCTGACAAAATCAGGTCAGACTAGTTTTAAATACATCAACTAGAAAGAATTAAACAGATCTAATTCGACCTGATCTGATTTAATTATTCAAATCAAGTCGGTACAGATTGCCAAAGAATTCCACTAATCAATCAATAAAATCACAACCTTTTTATCCATTTTTTTCGGAATAATGCTGATTAAATAAATAATTTCCAAAATACTGTTGGGTTAAAAATAATTCTCAAAATACTGCTGGGTTAACCGTGGTCAAGCAAAGCCGCCACTTGAAGTGGCGATTTTCGCACCACACTTGCGTAACATGTATGCCAAAGTCTAACAATAAATGCAATGGGACCCATCCAAAATTAAAAAACCCCTTTTTACTTTGAATTGATGTAACTTTTTTATTTGTACTCTCATTGCTACAAAAAAATATACCAAAATTCATATTTTTTTATTATCTTTCATATGACACCAATATTGAATATATAAAATCAAAAATAATCTAACAATCTAAAAATTACTACCTCCGGTCTTAAATAAACTTCTGGTACTGTTTACGATGCTTGATTGGGGATAAAGCAACTCGATCCTTGCTCACATTTAGATTATTTTTATTAAATAAAATTTACATATTCAGAAACTACATTAAAACCGCTAAATGAAATATCACACTTTAAAAATCACTATGTATTTTTTTAAAGTGTTATGTATTTTTTATTTTATTCCGATTATTACAAAAAAAAATATCAAAATTTATTATTTTTTGTTATCTTTTATTGGCAAGCAATGTTTCATATAGAAAAATAAAAATAAAATCTATTAATTTGTGTAGTTTATTAATTATGTGCATGGTAAAAAATGGTCCCAAACCAAAACCTCTCTCGAAGGCGCTTTGTAGCGGTTTTAATGTAGTTTCTGAATATGTAAATTTTATTTACTAAAAATAATCAGAGTGTGAGCAGAGATCGAGTTGCTTTATCGTCAATCAAGCATCGTAAACCGTACGAGAAGTTTATTTAGGACCGGAGGTAGTAATTTTTAAAGTGTTAAATTATTTTTTGATTTTATATATTCTAGTGTCATATGAAAGATAATAATATGAATTTTGGTATATTTTTTGTAACAATCAGAGTACAAATAAAAAAGTTACAACACTTCAAAGAAAAAGGAGTTTTTTAATTTTGGATGGGTCCCATTGCATTCATTGTTAGACTTTGGCATACATGTTACGTAAATGTGGTGCGATATTTTTTGATAAAGCCGCCACTTGAAGTGGCGGCTCTTGTACTGCGTAGAGAAAAATCGTCACTTCCAGTGGTGGCTTTGCTTGACCACGGTTAACCCAACAGTATTTTGTGAATTATTTTTAACCCAACAGTATTTTTGGATTATTTATTTAATTAGAATTATTCCGGGAAAAAATTCGTACTTTAGAGCTAACCTTATTTTTTGAATTATTGGGCTTATTAGTCGATTTTCTTACCAAACACGTAACTTTTAATTTCACGCGTTGAATTGTGTAATAATACAGAAATGTGAGGTTTGAATTGCTTTTGTGCCTGTAATGACTAAAATTGATGTAGAAGGTCATTTTAGCTATATTTTCATATTTTTTATTTTATTACTAAAATATATTTTAAATAAAATATTTTGATGAATTAGTAGAATCAACGGATCTAAACATTTTAATCACAAATTCATAAATTTTAGCAAAGTCAACCACATTCAACTCATTTGAGTTTTATCATAAATTTAGAAGCTCATTCTATCTTATTCAACTCATTTGAGTTTTATAATAAATTTAGAAGCTCTATCTGTCTTAATTGCTTTTGACTTGCTCTATGATAGATGTATATTCGGTGGAGTATGATGCAATAAACAAGTTGGCCACCGTGAGATGCAATTGCGAGCCCTCTGTGATAGTCAACCACATCCGGAAAATGGGTAAAGCGGCCCAACTCGTTTCCTACTCCAAAGGCCCCACCAAATCCCCCGCTTCTTCACCTGATCATTGTAACGGAAAAATCAAAGCGGATAACAACAAATCCTGTAAATCCAAGGCGAAGGAGAAGCAGAAATCTTCTGCTCCTTCGGATGAACACGAACCAGAAAACGATTGTGTTAGGCGTAGCCGCAGGTCGAAACAGAAGAAGCACGTATGCGCGCCGCCGCCGCCGGTGGATGAGGATATTTGCCAGGACGAGTTCTGTGCAATTCACAGAAGATCGGTGAGAGATATGTTTGGATCCGTGTTTTGGAACCAATCCGGCCGGATAGGGGGTATCCGGGGGTCGAATTTCGGTGCTCCTCTGCATTCTTATTATCCGCCGCCGTCGCAGCACTTTTATCCGCCGCCGCAGCAATCATATCTGCCGCCGCATCAATCATATCTGCCGCCGCAGCAATCATATCCGCCGCCGCCGCAGCAATCTTATCCTTCGCTGCACCGATCATATCCGCCGCCACCACAGCAATTTTATCCGCAGCCGCAATCATACGGATACTATAGCCCTTCTGGTGTGATGTCACTGCGTGGAAATGGGTACTATCCTGCCTATAATATGAGAGGCGTGCCAGGGCGTGACGAGAATCCGGCGGAAGATTGCAGAACCCAATGAATGAATATGTTCTTGTTGTGGAAGTCATATTTTATTGACCCAAAGTGTGTGATGTTCTTCCAGTAAATTATACATGTACACCCGGTTTTTAAATGACGTGATAGACTGATTCTCTCATCCATCTCTATTCCCGATTCTTCCTCATTCCCTCACTCCCCGTTGCTTTTATTTATTTCAGCCGCCATTCTTTTTCATTTTTACCCTCCATCCCGTCATCCTAGTTTGTTGTATACTCCGTACTACGTATTTGTTTTGTCTTTTTTATTTTACTTTTTCGTTACTTTTTTCCTCTGCTTTCTTTTTTCTCTTCGTTTCTTTTATTTTACTTTTTCATTACTTTTACTTTAGTTAGTTTACTTTTTTGTCTTTTTTCTTTATTTTAAACTCAAATAATTATAGCGTCTAAAAAGAATAAATATATACAAATGAACATTTCAATTTTTGAAAACTCATTATGTAAGTAATGTATGTCCATTTAGTACCTTTGTTATGCTTATTTTAAAATGTTTATCCATGTATATTTCAAAAGTCTAATATTACATTAGATGCGCATAGAATTTGATTATAGACACGAGACCACAAACCACGATACTCAATTGCATGATTCTAGTACCCAATAACGGAGGTTCGATGTTCACTGAAAATATCTTGATGTTCAAAAAACAAAACATACAATTTTCATATCAATGATCATCTTGTAAGTTACGAATGCTCATTTGTATAGGTCTGATGCTCATTAAAAATTCATTAATGCTCATTGATCTTAATAGAGGATGTTTGATGCTCAATTAAAATGTCGTGATATTCTACTAAAAAATCTTATGATCTTCACATCAATGTGCATTTTGTAAGTTACTATGCTCATCCGGTACTCATCTTATACTCATTTTCTAAATGATGTAATTTACATATGCTCATTTCTATAGGCCTGATGCTCATTAAAAATTCATTAATGCTCATTTAATAGAAATCATGATTTTCATCAATCTCAATAGAGGAGTTTTGATGCTGAATGAAAATGTTGTGATGTTTAACCAACAAATTAGCTACCAAATTCATTAATACTCATGTTGTAAGTTACATATGCTCATCTGATACTCATTTTATGCTCATTTTCTAAATGTCATATCAATGCATTTTTTGAAAGTATTATTTTATGATAGACTCCTAATACTCAACATAATAGGATTGATGCTCATTAAAAGTTCATTATTGCTCATTCACAAGAAACTATGATTTTCATCTCAATAACAGATGTTTGATGCTCAATTAAAATGTCGTGATGTTTAACTAACAACCCTTACGATAAAAAATAACAAAAAGAAAGTGAATTAGAAGTTTGTAAAGCAGAGATCACGATTCTGAATATTAGACTCCTAATACTCAACAGAATAGTTAGGGTGCTCATTAAAAGTTCATTATTACTCATTCTCCAAAAGTCGTGATTTTCATCTCAATAGTTGAGGTTTGATGCTCATTTAAAATGTCATGATGTTCAACTAACAAACCTTACGATTTTCATATCAACGTGCATTTTGTTAGTTATGTAAGATCATTTGATATTGATGTTATGCTCATTTTTAAAATGTCATATCAATGCATATTTCAAAAGTATCATATCACATTAGACTCGCATATTGAAATTAATAGTAGTGAATTTTAGATATAATTTAATACGGATTAAGTTTTTATAGCAGAAAAAATAGAAGATATGAAGCAGAGATCGCGATACTCATTATTAGGCTCATAATACTCAATACAATATGTGAGATGCTCAACAAAACTACAATGTTGCTCATTTAGCGGGAGCCATTATTTTTCGCTTAAATTACAAAACTGTCACCGAAAAAAATAGGTTGTTTTAATCAAATGGACTGTCTTTCTTTTAATTAGGCCTTTTTATGGGCCATCCGTGGGATTCATTTAATTCTATTCAAACTGGATTATTAAAATGGACTGAAGCTTAAAAAATTTAAAAAAAGCCCGGATGTCCGGTTCTCACCCGTACACCCGGATGTACGATATACGTACTCGTTCTTCCCTCGTAGTACTTTCACTCTTTTCAGATTGTTGTACTTTTTTTGACAATATTCAGATTGTTATACTTAGTACTTCATAACTAGTATAGTACGATATTAATTTTCTCATATTGTATCTATTTTGTTTTTAAAAATGTGAAATATGAAGTCCCACTAATGAAATCAACTTTCTGAATCAATGTTACGATTAACATTGTGATTCCAATTCAATCGATCAAATGTTTTGTTAGAGAACTGTTAAAAAATGTAATTATCTAAAATGTTTCATTAATATTGATGAAACAAACCTTTCACAACATTTCTAACGTAGATTTCTTATTCTTAGAGCCCGTTTGGTAGCACCAAAATTGGCTATTTTGGCTGATTCTGCTGAAATTTATGATATTTTGGCTGAAGTGGCTGTTTTGGCTGATTCTGCTGATTTAAGAAAAAAATATTTTAAAAATATATTTTATTAATAAAATAAAGAAAAAATTATATGTAAAAATAGCTAAAATGGTCATCTACAGTAACTTCAGCCAATACAGCCAGAAAAGTAACTCCAACCATACTTTTTCGGCTTATTACACAATTCAGCGCGCGAAAGTAAAAGTTACGTGTTTGGTGAAAAAGCTGGTTGATAAGCCTGATAAGCCGAAAACAGAGGTCTCCAAACGGGCTCTTAGTCTTTCGGAAATAACAGTTACAACCTCATTTTGAAAGTAGAAATGCATTTTAGAACAGAATGCTGACAAGGAAACATGTGACGCCTAGCCAGAATGCTGTTGTAACACCCCCTACCCGGCCCAGACGGATCGGGCAGGGAGTGCTACCCGCAGTGCCGCAGCACCAAAGCGTTGACTAACTAATTATTTTCTTGAAATATTTTTAGTTGAATTTAAATGAGAATAATAATTATATTCGTTTTTATCAAAGTCCATAAATTGCGGAAGCATAAATATATTACACAACAAGTAATTCTGGATTTTTGGAATAACCAAATACATCCATGAGATATAACCATTCTCATTTTTATTTACTTCACACACTAATATGCTAAATGAGCACTTATTATGCAACTAGAGATGGATTATTACTAATATGCATATGTGACTCTTTGATGATTGGCTGCTGCTCCCAAATGCATCCCGACTTGAGTTCCGCCTCGTAACGCTTATTGACCTACGCGAAGGACAAAAATCCAACGCGCTAAGCAAATCTTGCTTAGTGGTGTTCATTCTTTCTTAATGAATAATCAACATAAATTGTAACAATATAATATCAAAATAGCTTATAAGTCTGAATTAATTAAGAATACAACTTTCTTCATAGCTAATGTAGCTTAATAATATGTCATCAAAATGATAACACAATTTGTTCACAGAAATCATTTTTTTTTGCAAATTTTTCAGAATATAGAGTATAACAAATTAAAGTATACTTCTTATGCACTTAGCATTTTCCACTTCTCAACGTACCATTTTTTTTTCTCAATTTGCATTTCCAAATCAAATTTCTATACGTTTCTTATTTTCAGGAATTTTACTCCTTAGTTTAATGGACTGGATAAACGGGACATTCCTCATCTGGTACTGTCCACTCTGTGGCTGCGGACCATCTGAGTAGTATCAGCATTGACCGTTGTGTGGGTCAGGCCTTTCGTTTGGGTACTGTCCACTCTGTGGCTGCGGACCATAAACGATCAAAGTTCAAGATTTTCGTTATAGTATCAGCACTGACCGTTGTGTGGGTCAGGCCTTTCATTTGGGTACTGTCCACTCTGTGGCTGCGGACCCTAAACGATCAAATTCTACGGCCGTATTAACTATCCCTATTGGCATGCCAACCTATCCAATCCAAAGAAAAGTTTCAATTTCCTTTTTATTCATTACTCCTATTCAGTGATCTTGTTGCTTCTATGCCTGTGATTATTATTAAATTAAATGGCATTCCTAACAAAAACTTATGTGTAAAGTTTCTGGAACACAACTTATTTTAAATACAGTTTTCAGTTTTAAAATATCAATTTACGTTACTGTGTGCCGTTTGGAATACGAATTTTATTATGAAAATTTAATTAGTTTTTCTGGTAAAACTGTGACTAACGTAACTTTTTAAGAGTTGGTTTTAACAGTATACATATATTCGCCATTTGAAAATATCAATTGGATCACTTTCGAAGTCAAACTTAATTAGTTAGACAAAAACGAACACTTCATATTATTAGTACTATTATTTTAACGGAAATTAATTATTTATACTATGATATCATTTAACAAATTAGATCCATAATAATAGGTTTCGAAATGCATATTGTACGTAATTATAAATCTGTAATTTTATAATATAGTGTGGGTTTATAAAAGCTTTCTTCTTAATCATAACAAGGTACGAAGTTTAATTAAAGTAAACAGGTGGCCTTGAATTGGTTTATAGTTTAGTTTGAAACTTTCCCTAATAGGCATATATATAAATCTGAAATTTCTATTCTACACGTAAAGTCTGAAAAGTTATTCATTATATGTTATTCCGAAAATAAAATATGTATTAATTCCTTTTTCTATTATAAATAACATAACTTAATTATAGTTAAATAAAAAAACTGAATAATACTTCGTACAATCTTCTTTACAATAGGAAGAAATCTTTGTAAAATAAAAGTATTGATTCATATTTCAATTTCAATTATAAGTCATAAATCTACAAATTAATGAATCTCAAGTAATATAAAACTTCTCTAACTAATAATAGGTATATTTACTATTTAAGAATCGAATTAACAAAATTATCAGTTCTTAGAATAATATAGTTAACTTCTGAATCAATAACTATCATCACTACATTATGATATTTACTATCCATTTCTTGAATACTTAAAACAGGTAATCCTTTAAATCGAAATTATTAAAACATTTCTCTCAAATGATAATTCATCAAAATGTAAGTAAAACATGTCAATATAACTAAGTGTCATAGTAGGACGAAATGACAATATTATTAAACAATGCATTTCAGGAAGATATAAATGTGATAAAATTATAGAGCTTATTAAATACTACGTATGATTTAAGTTGAGAAGGGAATGAACACAAA